ACTTTTAGAGTTTGGGGACTGGGATGACACACCCTCACAAGTTTAAGGACAGGTTATGAACTTTACTCTTTATTATACATCACAAATAGTAGTACGCTAATATATATTTAATCAAACTTGATATTGTTTGAATCATGGGGACTGTAATACGATTCGCCTACGACATTTGGCGCGACTAGACGCTGGTTTGTGAAAATTTAGTTTGTGACGTGCTCTTTTTAAAAATTTTGGTTTTAAGATAAAATAAAAAATTCTAGTTCTAGTGCCGGGTAGCCCAAAAATCTAAAACATTTCTCACTACAAAATGATCCCATCAAAACAATATTAAGTTAAATTTAATATCTTTGGATATTAAGTTAGATTTAATATCTTTTTTTTGAGAATTACGCAGTACAATACACGCACACTCACCCCTATGAACATACGCACGTAAACCCTACCCCTAGAGCATCTTCGAAAGCTTAGCCAGCAAATTTTCAAGATTGACGAAGTTATCACAGACGCCTCATTGTCGACGGAAACGTCGCCTACCACTAAAAGCACAAATGCAATTAAATCCTGAAATATTCGCTCCTACGGGGAGTCATAATCATTTGCATATTTACATATGAATGTTAAATTTTATATCAATAGTCATAATCATTTGCAAGATTTTAAATCTTCCACTGCTAGCCTTTTGCCCGTGCGTTGCCACGGGTGCAAAAAAATCCCACCCATTAGGAGCAAGAAAATTTCAACACATTAGAGCAAGGAAAAAAACGCCGGTGTACCTGTCACCGTTGCCGCCAGAGGAGGAGGAGGGAAGGGCGGCGCTGTGCGCGGTCTCGGCGATGGAGCAGGTGATGGAGGGAGTTGAGACAATGGCGAGGGAGATGGTGGAGAGGAGTGCGTCGGAATTGGGGGAGGAAGGCGGCGAGCTCGCAGCTGATTGGAGGTACGGGAGAGGTAGCGGAGTCGGTAACTTTCATTCTGCCTGTGAACGATCCCAGTTTGGTTTCTTTAGAAGTAGAGATAGTCATATTCAAATTTTATTGATAGAGTTCTTACAAAATGAAACACGATGTCCAGTTCCATCACTGCTCAACTGCCGCCTCCTTGCTGGATTCCAACGGAGGCATCTAATACCAAAATCACATGCAACATGCACACTATAGTATATAATAGTAAATGCAAAGATAAAAACTAGTAGCTTTGTCTGAGGCTTATCGGCCACAGGATAGCTGATTGGCCACTAAGTCGTTCCTTCAGATTACGATATGGCTATCAGCACAAATTTGTTTCACGTGGCCATTCTCAGACTTAGGTGGCATGAGTAATCGGCATTCACGACGCGACAACTATAAGTGTGCAGTTGGCTTTCCAAGTGCCTGACAGGCACCTATTCTTGTAAATTTTCTATAACATCGTTTAGATTTACAATTACTTATTAAAATAATATTACTTCGAAAAAAAATTACGTGCACACACAGCCTAACAGGACCTTTTTTTTTTGAAACTAGGACCATTGACCTTAGTAGTACATTCTGAGTCGACGCCGTGGGAAAGAAAAACAAGATTACAAAGTATTCGTCCAGGTTGAAAAACAAAAGGAATCACTCAGAAAGCGCAGCATGCATTGCGCTTGGACAATGCGGAGCAAGGCACGTACTACGTTCGGGCCGATCGATGCAGTATTGCAACGCATTTGCATGACGCCCTGTCGCACTTCCACGGTCTGTGCGTTGATCATGACGCCCAGTCGTTTCCTCTCCACTGTGGAGGTCTGTGCGTTGATCACTTGATCCATGCAACAAAACTGCAGTCCCTCGTCAGATTAATCCGTCCCGTCCTCCCCTCTCTATTATTTTTTTGGCGCATATACCGTCCTCCCCTCTAGTTACTCTGCGATGATTTGATGATTGATAAAAAGAAAATCCAGTGTCAAATCAGAAGATTGGTAAAAAGGAAATCCAGTGTCAAATCAGAAAATGGTGTCAATCGTCAGATTAATCCGAAAAAAAATGGAGTCCAGGCTCTCTGTTTTTTTTCCAAGTTTTTCACTCTCTCTATCTCATCAAATCTTTTTTTGGCGCAAAATAACTAATTACCGTTCCCTCTAATTACGAGCGAATGATTTGATGATTGATAAAAATAAAATCCAGTGTCAAATCAGAAGATTGATATCAAATATTAATTCTCAACCATCATCTGAACAAGGCCCCAGTATTGACTGGGATGGGATGATGTGTGCATGTTCGTCGTCTCCCTCCTCTCACAAGGAAGTTGTGTTTTTCTTAGATTGGTTGATGAACAACATGACAGTTGTGCTGGGATGGGATGATGTGTGCATGTTCGTCGTCTCCCTCCTCTCACAAGGAAGTTGTGTTTTTCTTAGATTGGTTGATGAACAACATGACAGTTGTGCTGGCTGCAGTGAATGGTGACTCCAATTTCGTCAGTACCTCGCCGGTCGCCGTGCACCCACTGAATGCAAGGAGGACGAAAAATATCCACCGGCTGCAGTGAATGCAAGGAGTATAAAGAATGTCATTTTTTAATATAAAAATATCATTTTTATTTTTCGAGAAGTCAAATATTTTTAATTTTAGATACATATATAGAGCTTTGCTATGGTGCCTGATGAATAAGGAAAGGTCTAGGTATAGAAATACGGTAATGCTGTTTATAGGTTGTCCGGAGAGATGGACCCCATATAAGTCGTCCGCTCGCTTTGCGCCTCGCCCACACCGCCTCCGCCCACGTCGCTTGCTCGCTCAGCGCGCTGCGCGCGTCTACTCTGGGACGAACCCCGCCCTCGGCCGCGCCGCCCCCGCTCGCGCTGCGCGGCCCCGCCGGCCACCCGCGTCATGTGCCCCTGCTCGGACTTGCACCTCCCGTCGCGGCCGTGCTCCATCCGGTTGACGCTATCCCTGCCGAGGTCCGTACCGCCAACGAGCTCCACACCGGCGACCTACGCATCACTCCGCAGCATCGAGCTCCGTGTCGACGAGCCTCTATTCGTCCAAGCAGCAAGCAGATGCTATGCTGAAAGCGCATGTTGCAATAGTATGTTTCAAGTGTTTTAGATGTTTCAGAGATGTTGCAAGTGTTGTATATCGATGTTACAAAAGTATATCGAGATGTTGCACATGTTGTAATGGCTATACACGTATGTTTCACGTGTATGTTCCAAATGTTTTATCTGTTCCAGACGAATGTTGCAAGTGTTTTATCTGGATGTTGCAAAAGTAGATATGGATGTTGCATATAGGCATGCATATACATGCACGTAGCAATCACATGAGTGTTTTCAGGTGTTTCATACGTATGTTTGCGAGTGTTTCATCTGGATGTTGTATATGTTTGCAATGGGTTTCAAATGTTTTTAAGCGTTTTCGCAATTGTTTCATACGCTTGTTTCAAGTATTTTATTTGTCTTCTTTTGTATGTTTGCAGCTGTTGCATCTGTATATTTCAAAAGTAGATTGAGTATTGCACATAGAATGCGCATGGGAAGCGACCAGCGGTGCGGATGATGTTTGGGGAGGCGTGGGCGATGTCCGGGACGGCGTAGGCCCACTAATGGTGCGCTCCGTCGCGAGCCCGACCCGTTGTGCGCTCGTTTGTCCGGACAAACGTGACGGACCTCCGGGCGCTAACAAGACGGATAGAAAATATTTTTCTAGATCCAATTCATAGATGTATGATCTATTAGATGTTGTAGATCCTTTTATTTAGCAACTTTAAACGTGACATGATTTGATTAGCATAACCTTCTAAATTTTTGGACACGGCCGCTGGAGCACCTACAGGCTACAGCTGCAGGATGAGAAAAAAAAGGAAAGCTGCCTCACGGAACAGGAAGGAGCCGTGCCGCACTGCCGCTGGTTAATTAAGAGGATTTGATAATATATTTTTATTTTCCTACGTTAATTAATTAATTAGAAAATCTTAGAAATTAATTAATGGTTTAGATTTACTTAAGATATTACTTTCTAGTAATAATAAGTAATAATAAATAAAAAAAGTACCGTAGCATTGTTCAGGCAACGAGATTACAGTGCACGCGGGACACGCGGGACACGCCAAAGAAATCATCACTTTCTCCTAATCACGCTCTTCTCTTTCTACCAATCACGCTCTCCTCTCTCTTTCCCAGCTCGCGGGAAAACCCGACAGGCAAGAACCCCTTTTTTGCCATCCGAGAAAGGACCCAACCGCGCACGAGAATGGCCGCCGGCGTCAGAATCCACCGCCCGCCCAGCGCTTCGTAGTCCGCTGACTTTATGTTCCCGTAGAAATTGACCGCCCGCCTGACCGCCCGCCGGCCGGAAGAAGGTGCAGTATAGATAATCTTTGTGGAGCCAGAGGAGGCAAGAAATTACTCCGGTGGAACGCGATATGATTCCGGCGTTTGTCTTGGCTCCTCCTCCTCCTCCTCCCGATTCACCGTGGGGGCCGTGTCGGGGCCTCCCTTCCTTCCCGTCCCCATGGCGCCCGCTATGATTTCTTGCCAAATCACTCGCACCGTTGCCTCTTAAGCCGCAATCCGTCCCCCGAGTCGTCCCCTCCCTCGCCCCTCTCTCCAAACAGTCCACAGTCCATACGCGTTGTTTCCTTCTCCCTCCGGCGCCCCCTCCCGCCGCTCCTCCGCCGGAGGCGCCCCGGCGGAAGAAGCCAATGAGTTTGGCTCCCGCGCACGGGAACTGGAGATGCCCTGCCTGACCCTGCAATGCAATCCGTCGCCGGTCGCTGATCAGTCGAGCTCCTGATTTGGAACCTTTTTACGGATTTCTTGGGGGCCCATCGCCGTGTTTCCCTTGTTGCCCGCTTTGGCCGTGCATTAATAGCCGCTTCCTTGTGATAGTCCTCTCCCTCCGTCCTCCCTTCCCTGTTCCCTCCCCCCTCTCCTCTCTCCTCTCGCTCGTCTCCTTGGTCGGCTCTGTTCTTGGGAGTGCTGCCAGTCTGGTTGCGTTGCGGCAGCAAATACTTCATCGACAACGTCTGCCTGCGCCGTTCTGATGGGTTTGGGTTGCTTCGGGTGCTTCGCGCCGGAGGTGGATGAGGACCTCAAGCCCTCCAAGCACGACGACTCGTCAGGTCCGTTCTCGATTCCCATCCGCACTTCCGCAGTGCGTTCGGTTGGGCCTTGTGGCCTGGATTGCTGTGACTGACTCTTGCCGTGAAACAGGGGCCGATGCGAGGAGGAAGGTCGCGCCGGATGTGGCCAACGGCTACGCCCACAGCTTCACCTTCAAGGATCTGCTTGTGGCCACCGGCTACTTCAACGAGGCCAATTTCATCGGAGAAGGTGGATTTGGGAAGGTGTACAAGGGCAAGATCAACGGACAGGTAAGAAAGAACTTATTTTTTTAGAGGTTTTATATGGCTAAAGATAAAGATTTGACAGTACCGTGACAGACGGCGCCCTATGCGTTTTCCTTTTTTGTGTGTGCAGATGGTGGCAGTGAAGCAGCTCGCTCGAGATGGCGTGCAGGGGAGGAACGAGTTCTTGGTCGAGGTGCTCATGCTGACAGTGCTCAACCACCGCAATCTTGTCAGCTTGGTCGGGTTCTGCGCGCAGGGGGACGAGAGACTGCTGGTGTACGAGTACATGCCGTTCGGAAGCCTGGAGAGCCATCTGTTTGGTAAACTCTTTGTTCTTCAGCTTTCTGTGGTTCTTGGTTGGGGGTAGCTGCGAATGTGTGCAGTGTACTCCTGGAGTTGGTATCTCAGGGGTCTGTCCATTTTTTGCGCCGATTGCAGATATCAATTGAAATGCTTGCCTACCTTTTCGCCTTCGATTTATGACAGTTCTCTGCCTTTTCCCTTTTGGTTTGTGATAGCAAGTTGCTGTAGTGTTTAAGGGGAAAAGATTTGGGGCAACTAATTGGACATTTCATAACTCTTGGAGATTGCATAACTTTAATGTACAATTGGATAAAATGAAAGATAGAAATCAGTACCATTATATGCTTTTCCTTTTTGGGTTCAAGAAATGGATGATCTTTTTTCTTTGTTCCTTAAAAACTTCCTGTCAGATGTTGATTTAACTTCTCTGCTGCTATGAATACTATTACCGTTAGTCTGTGCCTGTTTATGTGCTTTGATTATTCAGTTTGTGTTCACTCTGAACTTCTGAAGCCTCAACGAATATTTTTACTTTTTAATTAACTTAGAAATTCTAATAAAAGTGAAACCGTTCATAACGCAAAATCGAGACACATTTTGTCCTGAATCACTCGAAGCCTGCCCAACATGCACGACAGGCCTACCCATGCATAGCAGCCCCAAGCACTTTTGCCCTCACCATGCGCAATGAGTGCAGATGTCAGTTCCTGTGTGACTATACCTAAGCTCGGGCAATACTAGCTAATCTAGTTAACCCTGCTACTATAAACATGAATGAATTACCATGAATATGATAACCCCAATAATACCTTTTTGTTTTGTTTTTACTGGCAAGAATCTTCTGAGTCAGCCTGTTCGTTTGTTGGTTTCAGTCAGGGCTTATCAGCCAGGCAACAGTGTTTTCCTCTCATAACAAACAGCACCAGCCGGGCTTATCAGCCCAAAAACCAACCAGCGAACAGGCTCAGATCTGCTAATTTAAGCTAGGTGCTGATTGTGCCAGTAAGCACAAAATAACCTACCAGCAATTTATTATTGCTAGTAATGCTCTAGCCCTGCCCGCGAAAAACAAAGAGTAACCAAGTTTCACCACCATCTGCTGTTTTGTTTCTGTTGCCTTGTTTATTCAAATCCAGGACGTCTTTTCAACTCATTTAAAAGCTAAGATTTTCATTTGTACCAGAATAATCGTTAAGATGCCTACTTAATCTGTCTGCCTGCTGTACTCCCATATCTTCCTTTTTTGGAAAGGCTCCAATTTCTCTTCACATTCATATATATTTTTTTGTTTGAACTGCAACTGTTATTTTGTTATATCCTTCAGCCATATAATTAAACGCATGCCTCCTTTCATCATGTCTGTGCAGTTGGTTTGCATCTCCTCTTTCCTAGAAGCAACTGATATGTTCTGCTTGCTGTCAAAACTGTGGATGTTGCTGCTTGTTGTTGTTTGTCTATGTTGCAAACTGTCGAAACTGTGTCCAATTTCTATTGAAGTGAATTTGAAAATTACTGTTGTTTGTCTATGTCTTGTGACTTTTGAGAGTCAGAGTTATCTCTATGATGCATTAATTGTGCTCCATTTAAGACAAACTACCTTTCAAAAAAAGAACTAGACAAACTTTTTAATCTCAGCAATTTTATTTGATAACTGTGTAGTCAAAACTGTGAACCACTCATTCTGTGAAATGGCAACTCAGTTGTCAAACCAATGAACCACTAATTCTGTAAAAGGGTGCATGTGTACAACACTGTATTGATACCATCATGCAACCAACACAAAATATTTATAATAATTGTTCGTTTTAGAGACAGACCTGAAAAACCTCCTTATTCTAACAGACTATGCCAAAATTGTTCAGCCACATAATGCCTAAGGGCTAGCCAAATTGTCCCCACAGAGAATTATTGAAGCCCTGAGGTTCTCATGGCTTGTCTCATGTCTGAACATGACATGTTCTTCCTGATGATAGCAGAGCTAGGTATGGGCATCATGTGAGCCCTCAAGTCTTTTTGTTTTTTTCTTTGCTTGAGTATTTTGGAGCTTTGTATAGCAGTGTAGCCCACTGCATGTGTTGCTATGCTTATGGATTCTGGGAGCTGTTGTTTTTACTATAAAAATCTGAAGCTGCAGATAAGCTTAAGCCACTCAAATTATTCTGATGAAATATTTCCATTGGTGCCATTGCACATTTACATCTACATTTTTCTTTTGTTATCGTTCGATTCACAGAGGTTTCTTTTCACCTTTGAATAGATGTGCCTCTTGGCAAGAAACCACTTGACTGGAACACACGTGTGAGGATAGCTGTTGGAGTCGCAGAAGGGCTTTCTTACTTGCACAATGTGGCTGATCCACCTGTCATTTACCGTGATATGAAAGCTGCTAATATTCTGCTTGGTGAAGACTTCAGCCCGAAGCTCTCTGACTTTGGGCTTGCAAAAGTTGGACCTGTCGGAGACAGAACTCATGTGTCCACAAGAGTTATGGGCACCTATGGCTACTGTGCTCCTGACTATGTTGTGAGTGGTAAACTTACCATGAAATCCGACATATACAGTTTCGGTGTTCTTCTGTTGGAACTGATCACAGGAAGGAGGATTTATGATGCCTCAAGGCCTAAACCAGAGCAGTCTCTGTTAACATGGGTAAGCAGCTTTGCCTTGTTACCTAGTATAAAAGGTCTAAAGTTTTCCATTCATACAGCGTGGAGCACCTTATTGTTTTCTCTGAATTTTGCAGTCGAGACCATTCCTGCATGATAAGAGGAAGTTCTACCGGCTCGCTGATCCATCTCTGCTGGGCTGCTACCCGTCATCAGCACTGAACCAGCTAGTCGTGATCAGCATCATGTGCCTCCAAGACCAGCCGCATGTCCGCCCAATCATCTCCGATGTCGTGATAGGCCTGAACCATGTCGCAAGCCAGCCATACACCCCTGAGCGCCCGCCGCCTGCATCCGTGAGCTCCCCTGCGAGCAGCGGGTCGCCGCAACCCGTCAGCACGCCATCCAGAAGGAGAGGTGGTAGGAGGACTGGGCAGTACGCTTAGGGCTTAAGCCCCCGGCCGAGACTACATGCATGTCTCCATGAGCAGCAAGACACCTCGGTCAGATGAGACCGGTAGGAGCGCTGATGAAATTGAAGCCGTCAAGTACTCAAGTTCCATTTAGTCAGAGCCTTTTTGATTGAAGCGGTCTCTGAGTGACCTGCTTGACAGAGAGTTCTAGTGAGGCTGATGGTAGGAGTTCAGGCTGACTATGCATGACTATTGCTCTTTTCATGTGCTTCTTTGTTGTTTTCAGTTTTGAACTCTGTAGCCAGTGTACATAGGAAGGATCAGTGTCCTCTGTGGGGGAGAAAAGAATGCACTAGTCATGGTAGAGGAGGGGGACAGTGTTCCTCCTTTTGGGATGTTCATCATCAAGTTACCAGTCATGTACAGAGTTGTTATGGTTTGGTGCTTGTTGGGATGTTCATCATCAAGTTACCAGTCATGTACAGAGTTGTTATGGTTTGGTGGATGCAATAAGAAATTCACCAGTGTTTCACTGAAGAGGCATAGTATAGATCATTCAAATGTTGGGTATTTGTGGTATTTCTGAGCTCAACTCTTTGGAAATCTGTGTCCGGTAGCGTGGAACGGTTCAAATCCTTGTGCCTTTGGATTGTGACCTCCTGTCTGTAATAGGCCATGGCGATCAGGCGATGATGGAGGCGTCCATGGCCTTGACGTGGCTAAGGGTCCAGCTGCCGACGATTTCGTCCACCGAACAGCGACGTCATGGGAGGCGCCACGGCGATGCTCTCGTCCCGTTTGTTGCTTTGCTGTTTTGACATGGCCGCGATCCATAAGGGCAGCTCCAGCGTACTTGCTAAGGAGGTGCTAGCAGGAGAGAGAAAGAAGAAAAACAGGTGCATCACGATGGAGCGCCGGTGCTACGGCTGGCACCTGTGGCTAATTTGGGCACCCGGTGCAAGCAATAAAAAAAGATGTGTCAGAGTGCTATTCACTCGACCGTTGCCCTTCCGGACCATTGTCATGCCAACTAGCCGTTGGCAACCTAGTTCTCACATCAATTTTGTTCTACGAATATAGACACAAGCATACACATGGACCACAAAGTTGGCAACCTGTAGCATAGTTCTCACATCAATTTTGTTCTACGAATATGGACACAAGCATACACATGGACCACAAATTTCTGAAACCTACACTACAGAAAAAAAAAGAACACCATGGATGATCCATCCGGATACAATCCTTCAAAGTCCTCATTTGAGGAACACAACAGAGGCAACCAACCATTCCCACATTACCCAACGCCACGATTTCCAACCAATATTTCACCTCAATTCAATCAACAATTCCAGCATCATTTTTCATTAAACTTCAATCCTTACCGCATGCCTCAATACCAACCATACGGCATGCAATATGAAGCCAACTTCAACTTTTCTCCTGGTCCTGTGTTTGGAAGAGGAGGTGCAAGTGAAGCTGTTCAATCTTCCTCACCAGTTGAGTCTATGGCTTTTCCTCATCCTATTGCAGGATCAAGTCCAGCCTCGCCAATCTCTGTTGCACCACAAAACAATGAAGATGATACCAATCAGGTATGGAGTGATAATAGTGATGATGAAGAAAAGAAATGAGGGCGTATGAATTGGACAGAGGATGAGGATCTGAAACTAGTTAGTGCATGGCTGCATAATTCTGTTGATTCAGTCAAGGGGAATGGACAAAAGGGCAATGACTTTTGGAAGAAAATTGTAGCAGAATTCAATAGCTTGGTCACACCAGATCGAAGGAGGTCGGTTTCACAGTGCAAGTCACACTACACCAAGACAAACAAGTTGGTAGTGCACTTCAATGGGTGTTGGATCAGAATGAATAGGGCACATGGCAGTGGTGAATCTGATGACCAGATTCTGGAGAAAGCCCATGCAATTTATAAGGGAGAATCAAAGGGAAATAAACCATTCATGTTTGAGTACCGGTGGAAACACGTGAGAAACCAACCAAAATAGGCAAATAGACCAGAAAACCAAGACACACATACGAACAAGAGACTAAAGCACAATGAATCAGGGGCTTACACATCTTCATCAAACCAAGAAAGTGAGGATCCAGAACCAAGTGAGATTCAAGAGGAGGTTGATTTAGAGGTTGCTCAGCTGGTTGGTAACAATACCAATCAGCGCCAAAGTGGGACTCGAAGGTACATAGATCGGAATCGGGAAGATGCAAACATGAGGTTACAAGCTGATTACTTTTGCGACAACCCAGTATACACTGATGCTCAATTCAGGCGAAGGTTTAGGATGAAGAGGCATCTATTTGAGCGTATTGTGCACACCCTTGGTGAGTGGTCTCCGTATTTTCGTCAATGTATAGATGCCTTTGGCAAGCTGGGTTTTTCACCTTTACTTAAGTGCATAGCAGCTATGCGAATGTTGGTCTACGGTAGCCCAACAGATCTATTGGATGAAGGTTTAAGGATTGCTGAAAGCACTGCCATTGAGTGCTTGACTAGATTTGTGAAAGGCATTAGACTGAATTTTGGTCCAGAATATCTAAGAAGACCCACTGAAGAAGATACCCGGCGGTTACAACATGTAAGTGAAGCTCGTGGCTTTCCTGGAATGTTAGGGAGTCTTGATCGTATGCATTGTCATTGGCAGAATTGTCCGGTTGCTTGGAAACGCCAGTGGTGATCAAGGAGTATCAACAATCATGCTTAAAGCAGTTGCCTCACATGATTTGTGGATATGGCATGCTTTTTTTGGTGTTCTTGGTTCAAACAATGACATTAATGTCTTGAATCAGTCACCGTTGTTTACAAACATATTATAAGGACGTGCTCCTACAGTTCAATTTACAGTGAATGGGAACCAGTACAATATGGGGTACTACCTAGCTGACGGCATCTACCCAGAGTGGATAACCTTTGTCAAGACAATCCCATTGCTTTATAGTGAGAAACACAAATTATTTGCAAAAATTTCAAGAAGTTGCCAGAAAAGATGTTGAACGGGCTTTTGGAGTTTTGCAAGCACGATTCGCTATATTACGAGGGCCTGCACGTTTTTGGAAAGAAGAAACACTTGCATATATCATGTACGCATGTATAATACTGCACAACATGATAGTTGAAGATGAGAGGGATTTGTATGCCGTGCAATGGCACACTAAAGAGCAGTACAATATCCAAGATGAAGATGCTCACTATGATCAGGGAAGCTCTCAACCTTTGGCAGGGTTCAACCATGGCCCTGTTTATGAATTCTCCAGAGTACTAGAAGCAAACAATGCCATTCATGATCGAGAAAAGCATCATCAACTCAAGGCTGACTTGGTGGAGCATTTATGGCAAAAGTTTGGGGCGGAACAATCTTAGCTTCATATATTTCAGTTTTACGCTAGGTCACTTTATTTGTAATTTATTAATTGTAAACCCCATGGTAGACCATTTAGCACTAGGTCTCTTCATCTGTACTCCTTGTTTAATAAGATGCAGATTTGGTGAACATGTACAACAACATCCATCTTTTAGTACGACAAAGCAAAACTAATTTGTGTCACTGATTAAGAAAAGCAGAGCCTCACCATCATGCAGATGCGGCTGCAGCTCAAACCATGGAACTAGGAAAAGCATGTCGCCGCGGAGGGATCTGCGGGCTCGCTCTTCCGTGCCGTTGTCGTGGGCCCTCTGCCGGTGTTCTTCTGTGCCTGCTGCGCCCGCGCCCGTGGCTCAGCTGGCCGCCTGATGCACAACGCCTTGCTGGTGACAAATCTATGCAGCGCCGCCTGCTATTAGCCCGCTGGGGAAGACGGACACGCAAGCGGCTCTGTTCTGCGTGGAGCGACTGCCTATGCGCCGCCGCAGCTAGGGTGTCGCGTGTAGATATGGAAGGGGAGCGGAATGGGAGGAAAGGCCGGGAGGAGTCCACGAGTCCGTGGGAAGAAGACCGGTAGGTTGGGAAAAGTTCGGGACACACAATATTTTTTATTTGCTGTGGGTCCACCTTAGCATGTGCTAAGAATTTTACACGTTAGAGCAGTTTTTGCTAACAAAGCACCGATTGAGGTGTCGGTTCTTTGCACCCTCCTTCTGATTATACATTGGAGCTGCCCTAAGCACGCAGCGGCAGGGGTCCTCTTCTCTCTCTCTCTCTCTCTCTCTCTCTCTCTCTCTCTCTCTCTCGGCTAACCACTGTCAACGCATTACGCATACGACGATGATTGTCGTTGGTGTCGTCTTCTCCGGACGGTCTGCACTTTGTGCAGCTGGTGGCGAACTTTTTGGGCCCAGAATTATTGGATAAAACGGGCCAAAGCCCAAAAGGACAAGGACAGCGACGTTCGGCAGTTGGGGTAAATTTTTCCCCTTTTTACCAAAGGCTGTCGGTTTTTGACCTGTGAGGCTGTGACCGTAACGAAACAAACTCTGCTGACCTCTTGAGTTTCAAAAAAAAATGCAAACTCTAATGCTCGGCCGGTCGCGTGCGGTGCGTTGCGCGCGCAGCCCACGCGACCACGCAGCCCACGCACGGGGCAAGAGCACCCCATTTCCGCTCCCACAGGCCGCACAGCTTCTCCATTCCCATATATCGCAGGCGACGCACCTCACCGGCGGCATCGATGCGGGAGATCTCGATGGCCGCGACGGCGGCGGGAGGCATGCCACGTGCGCGGTGGTGGCGAAGGCGCGGGGCGGTGGACGACGCCGGGGCACGAGGAGCGGCCCAAGGGGTACCTCTTCTACCGTCCGTCGCCGCCGCTAGGGGAGTCGCGGGAGCTGCCCTGCTACTTCACCTCCTTCCTCACCGTCGTCATCCTCGGTGTCGGCCTCAACGCCAAGCTCGACCTCACAATCTAGACCTGGGCGCATGAGAAGGCGCTCGAGCGCTTTCAGCAGCAGGAGCTCGACGCCGCCGCTCTCTCCGGGTGCTGTGATGCTGATGCCGAGTGATTCGCCTGTTAGATCACCCTGAACCCTAGTTTTTTCTGATTTCTTGATTGTGTTGGTTCAATAAGGCTGTCTGTACTAGATGTATATCACGAGCTTCCAGAAATTGATGGACATCAGATTGAACATTATTTCCATGTTGTTCAGTATGTAATTTCAGTCTTTAATTTCTATTTTTTATTTCAGTTTTCAATTTAAGTTTTTATTTTGACTGTTGTATTTTCAGTCATGTTTAGGTTGTAGGTTCAGGTTCATTGTAATTAATTTCAGCATTCAGTTTTGGTTCAGTTCAGGTTCAATTTTAGTTCAGTTTATAATTTAAGTATTAGCTATTTCAGTTTCCTCTATGTTATCTTTCCAATTTCAGTATTCAATTACAGTTATCATACTTCATTCTTCCCTAATTATTTCGGTCTTAATTTTCATGTCCAGGTTCAGGTTCAGTTTCAGTTCCAGTTCAGAGTTCCACTTAGTTTTGTTTCAGTGTCAGTTCTCTTATTTTTGTTTCATTCTTCAGTTTTGTTTAGTCTCAGTTCTCTCAGTTTTGTTTCAATCCCTTTTAGGTAAGAATGTCTTTCTAAATCCTGCATATTAGTTGACTTACCTATAATATATAAGTTGCTATAAAAGGATAACTATTGCACACATAAATTGCCACAAAAGAATTTGCCTCTCAGCTTCAGTTTTCGGTCTTGTTTTTTTAATATTTTTTTAGTTTCAGTTCTTAGTCACCATTTTAGGTTTGAATGCATTCGTAAATCCTACATATTAATTATATAATAACTTATTTCTTTTTTTTCAATTATTTGTTTTGTTTTTTGGTTGTTAATTTCTTTTCTATTCACTGGTAATTTTAGTTTCAATTTTTTCACTGGTTTGTACTATTGTGCCACTTGTGATGAGATCTATGAAATAAGACTATGATGCATGTGTTTCAAAATAATTTGTATGTACTAACAATTTATGTTATATATGTAATAACTATTTATGTATTAAGTATGTAGCAACCTATATATTAACCTTCCAACAAATTATATATACTTGCAAACGTTTAACAACTTATGTATTAAGCATGTAGCAACTTATGTATTAAATGTGTAGCAACTTATTTGTCAATTTCATTTTTCATTATTTGTTGTCATTTTCAATTCTAGTTCATTGTACTTTCGGTTTTAGTTTTCTTTGGATTTTTTTTCATGGTGTCTACTTTAGTCTTCATAGTTTAGTTTAGTTTAGTTTTTCAGTTTGCAATTTTAGTTAAGTTTTTCGCTTTTTGCATTCATGTGTTTTAGCGCGGAGAGGATTCATATGTTTTTGTAGTAGCAACTTTAGTATTACATGGTAGTAACTCTCTTTGATTTTTGCTTCCGAGCTTGTGCATACTATGTAACAACTTCAGTATATTATTCAGTAGCAACTTTAGTATTACATGTAGTAACTTCTTTGATAAATCTCCTAGCACATATTACATATAAATTGCTACTAAAATAAAATTCTTCGAAACATATGTAAGTGTGATCTGTCTAGCTCGTCACGCAGAACACAATGGTGCATACAAAATCGAACACGGATAAACCATTCAAAAGTTGTACTAATTTAAAATAAGTGTTTTGATTTTTGTTAACTTGTGTCAGACTCCTGACGTCCCGCGGTTGTTAACCTTATTTTTCTGGGAGATTTGGAGCGCTGGCTGCCTGGCTGGACATCGGTGGTTGCCTGCTAATGGATGGTTGTGTCATTCCGTGTGGGCAGGTGGAGCGGAGCGGTCGGGCGGAGTGAGGTGGGTCGCGCCCTCTGCTATAGCGCGACGGGTCGCGGCTTATTGTGGTCAAAAAAAAAAAAAAAAAAACCTCTGCTGATCTCTTTTAGTCGCGGTCAACTGAATCCGGGCGACCGGCTGTTGTTTGCGAGGGGCGAGACACCCCTCAACGGCCTATCCGCGATCCGAAGATCGGCGATGGGTTCCATGTCTGGGGCGGACGCCCGGACTCGGGCGAGAAAGCGACGGCGATCGCGAGGGCGCCACGATTGTTGCCGGCTTCAGAGATGGAGCTGGCTGTGGCTGCCGTCAGTGCGCGCGGCGGAAATTGGCTGGGCGCCCGCTTCCAGGAAACGGAGGAGCGCGCCAGCCGTGACGCCGCTTTCCGTCGCCGACGTCGACGTGCCCGCCCCTCCTATTAATTGTATCGTTTCGTTAATCCCATCTGCCGGGCAGTAATCAAGTACCCCTTCCGTATTCCAAACGTGTTTTTAGAATTCTATATGAGTATATCCCGTCAATCATTTTCCAACTTTGAGGGTGCTTGCATGCTAAATAACTTTGCTATCTAAGGAAAATCAGCTAGCTTTTTTTATTATTAGCTAGACTATTTGCAAGGTTTAATTTCCTTTCAGTGCTTAATCTAATAGTTAGTTGTATTTAGTTAGGGACGCAAATAATATACTATTTATTACGTGGATAGTTCATTTTGAGCTATCAGTTATGGTATTTTGATTCACTAGAGCTAATTTCAATGGCTAGCTTTTAGTTGTTTAGATCCAAACATCCTCTTATGTTGTTCATCATATCTATAGAATGGTAATATGAAAATTACAACTCAAAATGTTAAATGTGTATCTAGTGGGGGTCCAGCTCCTAATCACTCTAGCTCTGCTCCACTCTACTTGACGAGACAGCGAAGAAGCACAGTAGACCGGTAGAAATAGCTCCCAGCCTCTCTAGCTTAATTTACTCCATTTCCTCGACAAATCGCAAATAGGCACAACCACAACCAACTAGGTGGTAGCTAGAAAGGTACAATGCAGTGGCGCAGGTATGGAAATGGCCTGGCAGTAGAACGAGCATCACGGTCTATGGGCGCAACTTAAGGTGAGAGTCGCCACTTGACATCTTGCTAGCCATGGATCTATGGCACAAAGACTAGGGATAGGGATGGTGCGGTCTTGCCAGCCATGGAGAGAGGTGGCACGACCTAGAAAGAGGGCCAACACCTCACTGTCCTAAAAGAGGAGACATAGTTGGTGAAGAAGAGTAAGATTTGGACAACACCTAATTCGCATCTCAGGAGTAAGGTTCTAGCATGTCAAGAAGTGATTCGGAGACAATGTTGTCCAAAACGCTAAATGATAAGTAATTGACCACTTGCCGTTTAGCCATTATTCAGGCAAAATACAGTGTAAACGGATAAAACAACTAATTAAACGAGCAAAACAATCGATTAAATAGAAACAATGTATCGTCGTGTAGTGTTTAAAATGGTATGTAAATAGACTAAACGATCGTTTCAAGGAACAATGTTTTCCCACTCTTAAGGCACGGTGCGGAATGAATAAACCCGAGATAACTTTTTGAACGGCTGAGTTGCGAAAAGGACATTGTTGATAGCTCTCTTGAGCTTTGTGTGTTTGAGTGGAGGACCAGTGCGCTGTGCGCTTCCATACCAAACGGCCCTTAACAAAGGTTGTGAGAGTAGAGCCATAGATCAATCACGCGTTGACAGGGCTACGGAACAGTGACCACCACCTACCTACTCGGCTACTCGGTTCCACAATCCACTGACAAGTAGACCGCGTGGAGCGTGGAGCCCACTTTCCAGTTAAGGGGAGGGCGTCCAGCTCTGCAAATTAGCCCTTGTTTAGTTTTAGGAAGTTGGAATTTATGTTCTTGAAGACATTCGTTTTTATTTAGCAATTAGTGTTCAAACATGGACTAATTAGGCTCAAAATGTTCGTCTCGTAATTTTCCACCAAACTATATAATTAGTTTTTTTTCGTCTATATTTAATGCTCCATACACGGGCCGCAAACATTCGATATGATAGGTAATACTTTTGGGAATTTGGGGTGTAACTAAACACGCGCTTATAAACAGCGCAATCTTAGCGTGGACGAAGTGACAGAAGGAAACACTTGCGCGGACCGAGTCCAGGAGCCCAGTGCCTAGAACGACTTCACAGTTGAAGCTGCGACAATGGAGTGGGTGCGTTGTGCTCCGTAGACCAAGCCCACGCCAGGACCAGAGAGCAGCGCCTCATGTCGTCTGCCTTGTGCCTTCCCTTGCCTTGGCGCGCCATCTCCTTCCTGGACTTCCATCCCTCCTTTCTTTGATCTTTTCCTCTCCGTTCCCACCACGCTGTCCACGTCCCTTCTTCCTCTCCTCTCCTGAGTCCTGATGATTAGTAGTAGCAGCAGCACACACCGTCGGAGAACGTGCGCAGCAGCAGCTGCACAAGAGCACACGCCCGCGCGCGCCTTGAGAGTGAACGAGGAGGAAGAGAGAAACGCGTGGTTGGTTGGTTAGCTGCTTGCTCTGCGCCGTACGCCATGGGGAACTGCTGCGGCTCTGCTGACGCCAACGCGAAGCCGCAGAGTCGTCCTCCCACCAAAGGTTTGCCCGCCTCTGCCCGCACGCTAGCTCCGATCGAGTTCTCCGGCTCGGCCACGCCGCCGGCCGCCGTGATGGTCTGACCGACGTCTGATCGATGCTGGCGTGTGCACGTGCAGGGCCGCCGCCGACGACGACGACAAGGGCGCCGCCGCCGAAGCTGAGTGACGGCGGCCGCGGCGGCGGGGCGAAGCAGCAAGACAAGGGAGGAGACGACGGTCCTCCGTGCCCAGGGCCCCGGCGGGTTCTGGAAGCGCCGAGGCTGAGGGAGTTCACGCTCGCCGAGCTGCGGGCGGCCACGCGCGGGTTCAAGCCGGAGATGGTGCTCGGGGAGGGCGGTTTCGGCCGGGTCTACAAGGGCTGGGTCGACGAGCGCACGCTCAACCCGGCCAAGAGCAACGCCGGCGTCATCGTCGCCGTCAAGAAGCTCAACCCGGAGAGCATCCAGGGCCTGCAGGAGTGGCAGGTGATCCATCCCATCCATCGATCGCCTCTTGATCGATTCTGCACCATTTCTTCGCCTGGATGTTCGTTCCATTCCATCAGTGTTTGTGTGCTTCTAAAACATGGAAAATCTCCTCCGCCACCCCCCCCCCCCCCTCTCTCTCGTTTTGTTTGATGAAATCGCGTCTTTTCTTTAGAATCCTGATGAAATTTGTGGGTTCAGCTAATCAGTTCTACATGTCCCTTTCTTCGTGGAACACTGTACAAGTCAACTCTTGTAGTTTCTGCCGGCCCCAGCTTGCCATGAAGTTGCATTTTTCTACTCCTCTTGGTTTAGTTTCCTCCCTAGATAAGAGATAAGATAGGGACTCCCATACAAAATCCATCATGCCATCCTTGGTACAATGTATCTCTATGATCATCCATGAGTCCATGACCATTTGAGAACATGCAGTGCCAATCAGTGTGCTAATGTAGTGTGAACATGACTCCTTTGTTTGCTTGTGGATTGTTTAGCCCTCGTATATATTATCCATGTTCGTTCCAGCTGTCCTCCCCCCTCCCCTCTGATTACTTGTGGTGTTACTTGTGAGTTCATCGGCGTGCCAGTGGCGGCGTCTCTGATGTGTGCATATATGTTATTCCTTGTGTTGGCAAGTGCAGTCGGAGGTCAACTTCCTGGGCAGACTGTCGCATCCCAACCTGGTGAGGCTGCTGGGCTACTGCGGCGAGGACAGGGAGCTGCTCCTGGTGTACGAGTTCATGTCCAAGGGCAGCCTGGAAAACCATCTCTTCAGAAGTAAGCAGCCTGCATGCTTGCCACCGCCAACATTGGCAGTTCGTTTGATTGGCATTCTACTTTTCATTACATTCAGATTGGCAAAACCTGCCGGTCCACTCTCAGTTTACTTCTATACGATTGACGAACTGCAATGGCACTATGGTATAAAGTATGGTTTACTTCTGGGGAGTGTTCCCGGTCACTTATCACCTGCCTAACATAGTTTGAAAATGGACGCATGAATTTTGTCTGACCTTTGCCTTCTAGAATCGCGTTTGACTTTTGGATACATAGGCGCCCAAGTTTGACTAGTTTGAGCAAGTCGCTTGTACAAGTCATGCATGCTGTTCATGGTCAGATTAAATTACAAGTTTTGGCAATGGCGACGCCACATGGTGCTCTGTATGAGATTGAGCGTCCTGCAGTCTGACTTGCTGGGAGTCAAAAACTGAAAATGTCTGTCTGAGCAGGGGGTGGAAACTTGGAGGCGCTGTCGTGGAGCCGGAGGCTCAAGATCGCCACGGGCGCGGCGCGCGGCCTCGCCTTCCTGCACTCGTCGGAGAAGCAGGTCATCTACAGGGACTTCAAGGCGTCCAACATCCTCCTCGACTCGGTACATCTTCTGCAAAAGCAAGCATGTGCATAGGTGGTCTTCTCCTGGGCTACCATGTCCACTGACCACAGACATGTCAATGTTTTCAGGATTACACTGCGAAGCTGTCGGATTTCGGGCTCGCCAAGAACGGGCCCTCCGCCGGCAAGTCGCACGTCACGACCCGGATCATCGGCACCTACGGCTACGCGGCGCCGGAGTACGTCGCCACCGGTATGTAGCTAGGTTTGCACCTGCACGAGCACGACGACGGCAATGGCACGGCCACCAGGAGCTCATCACGTACGTTGACGAAGACTTGCATGCATGCAGGGCACCTGTACGTGAAGAGCGACGTGTACGGCTTCGGCGTGGTGCTGCTGGAGCTGCTGACGGGGCTGCGGGCGCACGACCTGAACCGGCCGAGCCACCAGCACAACCTGGTGGAGTGGGCTAAACCCTACCTCTCCGGCGCCGGCAAGCTCAAGAGCCTCATGGACCAGCGGATCGACGGCCAGTACCACACCAAGGCCGCGCTCCGGGCCGCCAGGCTCGCCGGCAAGTGCCTCACCGGCGACCCCAAGAGGCGCCCCGACATGGACGACGTTGTCGCCGCGCTCGAGGACATCGAGGCCCTGCAGGAGGGGGCCGCGGGACACCGGGACCTGCCGCCGCGGCCCGGAGCGCGCCGGTCGTCGCCGTACCATGATTCTTCCAGGCCCTATTGATTGATGCATAGCCTGCTGATTCAGAACACTTGCATTAATTCTTCAGCTTCATTCAACTAATCCCCACAGAGTTTTCATTCTTTACTCGATTAATTAATCCCTCACTGTATTAGGCACAAACACGGTTCAGTGATGTTCTCGGACTCGAACTGGATGCCACGATGATGAACGCATCGACCATAATCATAGCAACACCAAATCATGCCGAACACATGTAGATTACGAGTCAGTATGAAACAAATATACCGAACAAATTTGAAGTCATGTTACAAGGGTACCTCAAATTATCTCCAGTACTGAAAAAAAACCTAGAAAGAAAGAAAAATCTCTGTGCTCCAATGTAGTCTAGGAGATTAATACGGAATAAAGACTAGTTACAGGCCGGCCGTTTTTTCGGCACACTCCACGCCCACCTCCCCAATCGCCCTCCCCACGTGCACTCTCTTCTTCCACCTCTCAACTGCTTCCACCTCATGCATCTTTCCCAACTCCAGCGGCGGGGTTCGGCTGGTGGCGACGAGTTCAGCGCCGCCGAGGTGTGTCCTCCTCCTCCTCCTCCCCCTGCGTTCAAGCACTCCTGAGTTAGGGTTCCGGTGGGCCCCTCTTCTTCCCCAACTCCGGCAGGCTTAGAAGAGAAGGGGTAGGAAAGGCTGGCCGGCCAGACGGTGGGGACGGTGGGAGGGCGGCTTTAGGGTCCTGTCGGCGATGGAGGCGGTCAGGCCAAGTCAGAGCGGGGGCACCCATGGCCATGACAGCGGCGGGAGGGGGGAAGGAGGCCGTCACGGGCGCGCTCACGGCGAGGCGGTGGGCAACGGTGGGGCAAGGATGAGAAGGAGGGCGGGGTCGAGGGGCGGGGCTGGGAGGTGGGCGGCGCGGTCGGCGGCGAGGCAAGCAGGGATGGGACGAAGGTGGCAGTGTGGCTGGCCGGCTGTGCGTTAGAAGTATCCGATTAATATATCTCCTGCCTTTTAACTGTTGAAATCACTAGCGCAAGCAAAAAAACTCTGACAACAGCAGGATCCGAAAAGTGTCCAACGAAGGTCATCTTGCCTAGCTCTGACCTCTAACAAACGAAACAATGAGATGCAACAAGAAAATAACCCATTCAAGTTAACACACACTACTACTGTAAACTTAAGAGAGGCGGGCATCACAACCGCCTTAGCTCAAAGGTCACGGTAAATCAGCTATTTACCGAGGCGGTTGAAATGCCCGCCTCGATAAATCAAATTATAAAAACAAAAAAGAGAAATCCATGGATAAGCCCGTCGAGCCCATCCACGGGCTGCTGCTTTGCTCGTCGGCTCTACACTGCGCTCACCAGATCTGCACTGCCACTCGTCGGATCCGGCGGAGAAGGAAGGGAGAGAGGGCGCAGGAGAGCAGATCCGCCCCTGGTTGAGGAGATCTGTGCCGCCCCACGCTGCCGCAGCTCGGAGCCGCCCTTGCCTGAAGATCCGCGCCACCCCTACATGGAACTGCCGAAGGAGGAGGAGATGGACGCCGGGTGTGCGCGGGCCCTCGCCGCCGGGGCACGCGGGCACCGCTAGCCGTGTCGTGCGGCCACCACACCCGCCGTGTCGCGCGGCCCCACGCCTGCCAGGGGGCGAATCCATCGCCACTGGAGAGCGTGCGGGCCCTCGCCGCCGAGGCGCGCGGCCACCAGCCGCCGGAGAGCGCCACCGCGAGAGAGGTGAGGTTGGGAGAGAGAGAGATGGAAGCGAGTTTCCCGTGAGAGAGTGAGGTGTGTGGCGCCGTCGGGTGAAGGAGCTGAGAGAGAGTTGGATGGGTGAGAATGAAACCCTAAGTGCGGTATATATATACTGAGCGCGATATCGGGCCTAGATGGGTTGTCTGGGCTCCGAGCTGAGCCAGTATTTACCGAGGCGGGTCTTATAGTGTGCCCGCCTCCATAAATAGATTAACAGAGGCGGTTGTTGGACCGGCAGCCCGGCCACGAATAACCGAGGCGGGCAGCCGGCCCAACCGTCTCCAAGGCCCAATTCCAAACGCCTTGCAAAAGTTTTTTGGTGTAGTATTGACAACAAATCAAAGATCTTTTTTACACAGTTAACTTCACCATTTGCCAAAGGAAATTACTTAAAAATAATTCATTTTCCCTGTACAAGAGCTCTGGTACTGCTTATCCTGCAATGTTATATAATATACATTATACAATTGTATATACAGGGAATTTGTCCTCATAGTTCATAGAGTGTGGCAGAAGGAGCCGTGAAGGAGGACCCCAACTCTCTGAACAGTGAACAGGTCTTCAACTCTTAGGCGAGGAAAAACAAAAGATACCTTCACTCTAGTGAAACTGGTGGGAGTGCACGATAGATCGTATATGTACAATAATTATCACTTGTACAATATTTCAAGCTATGGAAAATATCAACTGAAATTATGCCAAGGGCGATAGGCTAACGTAGCAGCTGCAGAATTGCTTAATCATCATCTTCTCATTTTCCTGCTATCTTTTGTTTCAATAGCGTCCATCTTATGCCCGTATCTCCTGTTTTCAGACAGTCAAATCTTTGAGGTTTGCGTGGTTCGTTAATTGGAATGTCGTATGTGATGCCAATCCCTCTGTCCCTCCCATTTCTCCTTAAGACACTTGATGTCATCAACCAAGCACGGAGATCTCATCCTATTTGCAATGTGTCACAGGGCCTGCCACGTTATATCCAATTATTATACTTCAATGAGATGTCAATCCTGGGAAGGTGATGTTGTTAGAAACTTAGGACCTTTGGCTAACCAACAATAAGGATGTCCCAATGTACTCACTAGTAAATATGTCTAGTTTAGATACTATAACCATGTGCATTCTATATCCGAAAACCAAAATGTGCCAATCAATATTTTCGTTGTACCAACTGAGCTTTTACGAAATACTAATCCCACGGAGGAATTATGTTGTTGAAAGTTCAGTTACTGCGGTTGATAAATTAGTTGGTTAACCGAGATTAGGCCTCTGAAAAACTAAGTGGAGCAAAAAAATGCAATCTCCTTCCTTTTAGGGTTTATCCAACCTGGTACCAAACTATACAGTAAAACAATCTGATCCTTACCGGTTCTTGAACAAGTGTGGTGGCACTCCGTTTAGTTTAAATTTAAACTATATAAAGAACTCCTTTATCAATTGCCAGCACCAGTAATATAGAGTGCTTGAATTGCGGTACCGCCTTCGGTCTTGAAATTTGAGTCAAGTGTTGAGGTGCCTGACGAGGAAGCCGATGGTAATGCTCCACTTGAGAAGGATGAAGACGAGCAGTACTTAATTGATCTGGCATGATGTTCACTATCTTGTAATTTTGGCTCTCCATTTATGTTTGGCTGAAGAAGAAACAGGAGTTTTAGTAGCTGAATGGCAGTTTAAGATGCGTACATGATGTAAGTTTTTTTTTTTGAAAGGTAGCAAGAGATTTGCCGATTTTTATTAGAAGAAGTACATGATTGCAATATTAAAAGAAAAGAAGATGCAAAATTCTAGTAGTGTGTTTGGTCTGTGGAATGAGGTAATCCATCATCACTTCACTGTTCAATTTTTTGTTTGGTTTGTAGGATGGAATGAACTCATATGTCACTGCCTCATTCCTCGTACGCTTATAATTAGTACTAGTATTAAGAATGAAGTTATTCCAATAAAGTTAAGAAATAAACTCATGATGCATCACTTACTCTAATAAGGAAAATATCTAAATGTTGACACATAATTAGGTTAAAATGTTTACATTTTCTAGGGTTGAATAAAACTAGAAAAGCTGCAGATTTCAATGTTAGTTTTTTTTAAAAAAAAATCTGTCGTTACAACTTTTCAGACCCTAGGGATCAAAATCTCCTAACCGACATGGGTAAAATTTTGGTAAAAAACCATGCCGGTAGGCCCAAAGATAAATTGTGAAACGTGAAAATTTCACCTGTTCTCCATGTATAATATCACCCCTACTTTTTTTTTTTCTTTGAGGAATAATCTCTTCTTCTATAACTGCTGAAAAACTGTCTATCATCTCTATCTCTATTTGCATAAACAATCAAAATTCTACTCCTTCCATTTTAAATTATAAGTCATTCCAACGTTCTTGAGAGTCAAAATATCTCAAGTTTAATTAAAGTTATAGAGAGAATTATAAAGTTTTATAATATCAAATAGGTGTACTAGGAAAATATAATATAATTAATGAAAAAATCCAATGATATTTATTTGATTTCATAAATGTTATTATTTTATCATATAAATTTAGTTAAACTTGAGATGCTTTGACTCTCCAAGAATGTTGGAATGACTTATAATTTAGGATGGAGGGAGTAGTAAAAAAACATAAAGGCAGTTTGCTAAAATAGTACCCACCTCAAGGATTACAACTAGACCTTGTTTGAATCCCATAGTCTAAAATTTAGCTACTAAACTTTAGACTATTTTAGCTCTTGAGGCTCTAAATATTAGGTCTAAAGTGTTATCTAAAGTTTAGCCAACCTCACAAAAACTTTAAACCATACAAGTGAACTAAAGTGATCCAAAGTTTTTGTCCTTAATGTTAGCCAACTAAACTTTAGACCATACAACCCAAACAGACCAAGTATTTGGCCTTTGCCAAACTCCGCAACCATACCTCCTTACCTCCTTGGAGGCCAAAAACAATGTGTTTTAATAGTGGAATAAGTAATAACTCTATATAAAAAACACAACATTTACGATGCATTCATACGGACCAAGCTCCCAAGATAGTTATGAAATTTTAGGCCGGGCTGAACATAGACTTTTACCATGCTTCCATTAAGGCTGGTCTCAGAAGGAGTTACATCTAAGTTTTATCCGCATCTAATAAGATCATGTAGGCACTTTTGATGATGTGACACCATATTTAAGAAAAAGAGAGAAAATGAGTTTCATGCGGATGAAACTCTCTTGACACAGTTACCAACTCGTCGTAGAATTATATGTTTATGAAACTACAGAATGAAACTATACATTGAGAGTGATTGTTTCATTAAAG